AAAAAGGTCTATTAACACATAGTGAGTGAGAAAGGTGACTGAAGAAGAAATACTTAACACAGCATCCCCAGCAGCCTATTGCAGCATAACTAAAGGAGGATTCAGGGTCACCTGATCCAGCCCTAACTATATGCTTTAATCCTCTGGGGTCGACAGACGCGCCGGTGCGTCAAAATCACATGACCAATTTAAGATGACACAGCAACAAAATGCAGTGACAGAGTCTCCAATTCAACTTGGTTCGGAAGTGCGGACTGCAAAGTACATACCAGTTTTTAAATTGTGTCGTTTGGCCACGTAAAACCAGAGTTATGATAAAAAATACACGCAATGGGTTTTTTTTTCTGAACAAAACAGTGGTGTTTACAGCGGGAAGAACGGTAAAAACTGCATTTTCTAAGGACAGCGCTAGCAAACACTGCGCTTGTGTGAAAAAAGAAAAAAACACCCCTTCCCTATTGGTGTAAAGTTTACAGTGTCAGCCAATCAAAAAAATGATATGGCAACATGTGGCACTTGGTTTTTAGGAAGAGGGGGAAGTTATAGGAGTGTCACCTGCGAGAGAAAGCGGGCGAGCGAAAGAGAGAGAGAGCGAGTTTTCATATGTGAGACATTAGTGACGTTTAGCGTGTTTGGAGGCTGTAGTTAGTGTGTAGTGTAGTAAATGTACAATTTCTATTTGCATTTCAAGTTATGAAAATGATTCGTTAAACATGTTTGTGGCTTTTACAATAAAAAATGTAATTTAAAAAAAAAATTTCTCTGAATTTTTAAGCCTAATCTTAAAGGTAGACATGGTGTCTGTCTCCCAAATTAAATTTGGAAGCTGTTTCCACAGAAAAGGGGCATGAAAACTGAAGGCTCTGCCTCCCATTCTATTTTTAACCTCCTAGGATCTGGTGTCCACATATGTGGACATCACATTTTGGGTTGTCTAGACAAAATACAAAATTTTGCTCTAAAGGGGCCTGATATCCCCTTACGAGAACATTATACTGCCTCTGTTTTATTAAAATTTAAAACAAATGTCTTCACATGTGGCTCTAATTTTTCTTAGAAACAAATATTGGGTAAAAAGAATAAATAAAAAAATCTGGTGATTCTTTCTTTTTACATTCATCGGGTCCCAATATGCCCAAATATCAAAGAGAAATTAAAATGCTTTCCATGGAAGAGTTCAGGTCTTAGGAGGTTAAATATCACAAGTAAGCCTGCAGACGTGCTCTAATGGGGTGATATAGTACTTTAAAGTCATTACAATAAGATGGGGGATGATTATTCAAGACCTTGTATGTGAGGAGCAGGATTTTGAATTCAGTTTGGATTTAACAGGGAGCCAATATAATGGGAGATATACGCTTTCTCTTTCTAGTCTAGGATGTCCTGATTATAACAAATTACAGTAGTCCAGCTTAGAGGTAATAAATGCATGACCTAGTTTTTCAGCGACACTCTGAGACAGGATATTTCTAATTTTAGAAATATTGCACAAATGGAAGAAGGCAGTCCTACATATTTTAGTATCCTTTTAAATACCATATTTCTAAGATTTTCAGGGCCGAGTACAATAAACTCAGTTTGATCTGAATT